CACTCTCTCTTTAAAAAAAAAAAAAAAAAAAGCATATGTCTTAGAAAAAAAAAAAAAAAAGAAAATTGGTTCTCAGAGAAAATAAAGATTCACCTAAGAGGAGGATAATCTATTTCCTTGTGGCTTTCTTTAGCTGCTACTAAACACCAGCTGCTATGTCAATTAAAAGTGCATACATCCGTCTCTTCCAATCTCACCTTTGCCTGTTAGAATGGATCCAGTCTGGAACTTGGATGTGGGGATTAGGTGACAGCTTGGGGAAGCAGAGCTGTTTCTATGGGGAGCAGCAATGACTCTTAGGTTCTTCAGAACAGGTTTGACTTCTGGCCTCCCCTCCAAGTATAGAAGGTTGACTTTCACTTTGCTCCCAGAGCCAAGGCACTGCAGGGTAGCCATAGTCTGATTTTGGATAAATGTGGCCCTTTTGGCTTCTGTGTGAGTTTCTGAAGGAAGAGCCAGAGAGAACAATGAAGCTTTTAAAAAATATGAACAGTGCCCAGCTAACTCAGTTCCATTCGTGACCCCTGTTAAACTCCATTGCTGCACTTTCACCTCTTTCTCAGTATGTATTTATGACACTAAATAATGCAAGTCCTGCTTTTCTTCCATCCTGCTATAGGTTTCATAAAGATAGGTGACTGCTGTAAATTCAGCACAGAGAAATGTTCATAGATTGTTTTCTTTAATGCAATGAACAGGTGCTGTCTCATCTTTCTTTGTCCCCATCTTTGATTTATATAGGCATGCCTTAAGTACTAAGTTAATTTAAAGATTAGTTTTCAGAAAGTCTCCAGGGGGAGGGGATACATATCTTTAAAATAGTATATTTGAGATCTGGGCTATGAAGGAAGGAGACAAGGCACCTTTTAAAGACAAAAATTTCTTGGTACGGAAAAGTGTTTTTCTAGATAGGGCCTTGTTTCCTACCTTGCATTAGGAATTCCCTCATGCTTTTCACATCCTTTGGGAAGAGCCCAGGGAACTGTTCCACTTGGCAGCTGCTTTCTCTGAGGTCTAGGGGGAAAAAAGGTCAGAATTTATTGGTATTTACTTGTTGGAATTCTGGGCATAGGAGAGGGAAACAAAAGAATAAAGTTCCTACTCATAAAACTTGCAGCCAGGGAGATTAAATACTTCCTATAAAAAAGACTTTAAAACAAACAAATGCATACAAGTAAGAATTAGCCTATTATAAAGAAAACTGAATACCAATCTACTGCTGTTAGGAAAAAGGAAAGTGAAATAAAGTTACCAAGTTAATGAAAGAGTAACTAATCTATTCCCTAAAGGAAAAATGATGATTTCTCTTTTCCCTCTTCTTCTGCCAACTGTATTAAAGAGCACGTTTGGAAGTATATTAAGTATTGCCTTGGACATTTTATCTCTATGGATTTTCACAGACTCATAGATCATAGTTATCTGTGCATTTTGGTACACATGCGATTTACAGGGTATAGGAATTTTCATAATTTGTTATATTTGGTAACTACTGCACCTTCCACTATTTTCCTTAACTCTAAATAGCTAATTTTAGAGATGAAATGTTTAGGAAATGCTGAAAAGCCATATTTTAAATAAAGTTACCAAAGAACAGCATATGGTTTCATTCCACCCTCACAGTACCTTTTCCCTCAGCTCTCCCTACCCACAGCACCCTGTCTAAATATGTGGACATGCCACCTTAAAAATGAAGGCAACATGAGCTGGGGCTATAGCTCAGTGGTAGAGCACGTGCCTTGCACGTGTGAGGCACTGGGTTCAATCCTCAGCACCACATAAAAATAAATAAATAAAATAAAGGCATGCTGTCCATCTATGACTACATTTTTTTAAATGAAGGCAACGTCTTATAAAGAGTTATGAATTTGGGTGTCTTAGGTGGGGACAATATGGAAACTGTGACAGCACGCTTTCATAAAGAAAGATAACAGTGAAATAACTTTTAATGTTAATTACATGAGCCATACAGGAGAATGCATTACATTTACATCATGAATAAGTTGAGTAAGTTGCAATCCTGCTTAGAGGCAAGAGGACGTATGGTATAACTTCTGGAAAGTATCACTTGCTGGGTATTGGCTATTTCCCTTCTGGTGTAAGAGACTCAAAATGTTTCTTAGGCCTCTCTTTTCCATGATATTATTCTACGCAAGTACTTACCTTTCTTGTTGGAATCACAGGATACAATGATTAGGCTGAAGACTAAGATGGTATCCATGTTAGCTTGAGCACTCATGACAAAGATAGTCCACTGTTAATCTGTCATTGCCCCTTATAGTCTTGCTGTAGTTGCTTTCACTTGCCCTGAAACCAGGTTTCACCCTGTGAGAGTCTGGTTCCACCCTAATTATTTTGTCTTATTTCCTGAAGACCCAGGGATAGAGCTGATTGGAGAAAGAGTCAAGTCTGTTTATTAATGATTGACTTGGAAGGTCTTCCCCTGACTTTACTGCTGGGTGCTGACACAGAGAACTGTAATTACCTAGAGGTTTCCCTAGCATAAAGGGTATAAACATCCAGTGATATGTTCACTGACACTTGCAGATAGACACGTACACATTCAATACATGCCCACTGATACAGGCACAAAGATACACCAACATAAAAGGATGTGGAGATTTCTATTAAGGAATGCAATTTCTAGAGAGAACAAGAAAGTAGGACAGAATGACTCAGTGACTTACACTGGAGAGAGAACTGGAATAGGAATCAATATAACTGGGTTCTAGGGCTCTGTTATTAACTATATCACATTAGGAAAATTAATTAAATTCTTAGGATTTAAATTTTCTCTTCTATAAATGGAGAGTCCAAACAAAAATATCTCTAGAATCCATTCACAGTTATACACATAAACTCAAGAGCATAGATGTAGCTATCAAGTTTTGCATATTGTCACACTCCTAAATAGTGAAGTAAGTATAGGTTAACATTCCTATGATTAATGGGTTAAGAGGTGAAGAAGAGCTAAATGCGATAGGTTTGCAGTTTGGAAAAGTTTTCCTAGACAAGTAAGTGATGTTGAAAATTTTTTCCAAAATTGCATCTTTTAACAAAGAGTATACACTTAATGTAATACTTTAAAGACTTTTTGATGGTGTAGCTAAGTAGATCATAAAGAAGAAATTACTCAGATACTTGCCGAAGTCCAGAGCCTCTGCAGCCTTTCTACCCACTGTAAATGTCCTCCAATGGAGCCAACATGGGTTTAACCGGATATGAGAGGCTCTGGAGGCTGAAACTGATTGGTACAGTTATAAAGGGAGCTTGGTGCAAAAGACTTTCCAGGAGGGGCCTTATGAGATTTCAATCAAATTTCATTTAAATACCACCCTGTCTCATGACACTTTAATACAGCTTGAAATCTGGCTAAAATGAGCATCACAGAAGTCTTGGTGGGGAAAACTAAAGGGAAGAAATGTTACTGAAGGACATTTTAGCTGAAAGTGGAAGAAGAGGAAGTGATGGGCATCCAGACACAGAGCAAGCCACTCCCTTCCCTCTCCCCAGTACTGTGGATTGAACCCAGGGCCTAGGCTTTCTAGGAAAGAAATTTACTGCTGAACTACATCCCCAGTCCCCTCACCCTTTTTAAAATGTTTTTAGTTGTAGATGGACACAATGTCTTCCTTCCTTCCTTCCTTCCTTCCTTCCTTCCTTCCTTCCTTCCTTCCTTCCTTCCTTCCTTCCTTTCCCAGGACCTCACACGTGCGAGGCGAGCACTCCACTTCTGAGCCACAGTCACAGCCCCCTTTTTATTTTTCTGAGACATGGCTTCACTAAATTGCTGAGGCTGGCCTCAAACTTTCAGTCCTCCTGCCTCAGCTGGGATTACAGCTGTGTTCCACCACACCCAACCAGAGCAAATATTTATTAGTATTGTTCCCTTTTTCCCTGCTACAGTTGCCTGATACTCTTAGCACAGGAGGTGATTAGGGCAAAATAAAGGGATCCATTGCCTTTCTTGGGTTTTATGGTTTTTATTTACTGTTTTCTTAACATGATTACATGGTTCTCTACTCCTTTGTGATATTTACCTGATTGTTCTATTTGAAATTTTCTGTAGGTTAGTTCCTAGATGCCACATTGCAGTACTGCCACCTTGTAGTTGTGGTAGGAATGATCTGAGGGCTTGATATTCTCACCTATGACACAAGGTGGCAGAAGAGCTCACTTTTACCAAAAGAGACCTTATGCTTGGGGGAAAATAAAGTAGTTTTCTTTTATCAACTCTCAGATCCTAACTCTTCCTTTTGTAATTTGGAGGCCCAAAAGGTGGCCTGCATATTGAAGCAGGTCATACTGTGAGGAACAGAGAATCAGGAGAGCTGCAATTAATAAGGAAAAAAAAATAGTGGTAGAGAACTAGATCCAGAACTACTTCTCTACAATTTTTTTTTTTTTTTTTGGGTGGGGGGKGGGAAACAAGGATTGAACTCAGGGGCACTCGACCACTGAGTCACATCCCCAGCTCTACTTTTTTCTTTTCTTTTTTTTTTTTTTTTTAAATTTAGAAATAGGGTCTCACTGAGTTGCTTTGAGTCTCTTTTTTGCAGAGGCTGGCTTTAAACTTCAGATCCTCCTGCCTCAGCCTCCCAGGCTGCTTGGATTACATGTGTGTGTCACCACACCAGCCAGGCTCAGCTGATTTTTTTTTTTTTTTTTTATAAAGAGAGAGAACTTTTAATATTTATTTTTTAGTTTTCGGTAGACATAACATCTTTGTTTGTATGTGGTGCTGAGGATCGAACCCTGGCCGCACGCATGCCAGGCCAGCGCGCTACCGCTTGAGCCACATCCCCAGCCCTCAGCTGATTTTTTAGGTGTTTGATATGTCTGTGAAGGAGAGGATATCAATTCTGATCTCCTACACACACATACA